ATAAAAATTAATATTAATTTTATTATTAATATATACTATTATCCTGTATCATAAAAACACACGTTTTGAAAATTGAAACAGTCTATCACTAAACTAAGTTAGATGGCAGAAAAGCATTTTCTCACACACGGGAATTGGTAATTATGAGGAAGATGATGGTCTTGGCTTGGTTAGGTTAGAGCCATGGACCGTGGTGGAGTGAGTGCAACGGTCAAAAAAGTGTGTATATATATATATGAAAACAGTATAAGTCTTATTTTTTAAAAATTATAAAAAAAATTATTTCAAAATTATATTATTTTAATAAATTTTTGTTAAAAAAATTAAATTACGTTATTTTTAAAATATGTATCAAGATAATTTTTATTTTTTTCATAATTTTTAAAAATAAGATAAATAAACACCGACCACCATATATATATTATATATATGTCAAGTGTGGGGCAGCTTCTTAAAGCTAGAGTAGGAAATTTCAAATTACCAACAAACTGCCGTGGGCTGGGGGTAAGTGGGGCAGATGTCGTTCGGGGGGTGTTCAGACCAATGTTTTCTCCTGCCGTGGTAGACGGGGTACGACGGCGGAGGACACATCCATCAAACCTACGGTGGAGCTTAGGCGGGCCGTACAAAATAAGTGAACAACGCATTTTTCTTTGAATGAAGTCTCTTTCTTTCATGTTTGTGTACAATGTGTACTTTAAAATTAAATTTTTTATTAAACTGATTTAAATTGTAAAATTAAAATTTTATTTTTATACAAACTATTATCGTTAATTTATTTAAAATTTAAAATTAAATTAATAATTTAAATAACTTAATAATAATTTTATTATAAATAAAAATTTATCTTTTATTATATAATTTAAAATTAATAAAATAAAAATTAATTTTAATTTTATGTACCAAACTGCAAACATTTAAGATTATACATGTGACGGATAACAAATAAGAAGATCTTTAATATGAAGAAATAATAATATTTTTAATAATAAAATATATAATATAAGATAAATTAACTCATCTCGTTAAAACTTAAAGTCTCTTTTTTATCACTCAATTAAGAAGGTTGGCAGAAAAGCAGTTTTCCCACACGGGAATTTTAACATATAGAAAAAATAATATTTTTAATAATATAGTATATAATATAAAATAATTTAACTCAACTTGTTAAAATTTAAAATTTTTTTTATTAGTTAAAGAATTTATCTAATTTGTATCTTAAATATATAAATTAAAAGTATAATTAATATATATTTTTTATATTAATTACTATAAAAAATAACAACAAAAATTAACGTTAATTTTATTAGTAAAGAATAATATTTATCTGTCTTATTTTTTAAAAATTAAACAAAAATATTATTTTAAAATTCATCATTTTAATAAATACATATTAAAAAAATTTAAATATTTTATTTTTAAAACATAAATTATGATATTTTTTTATTATTTTTTCTTTTATAAGACGAACAAACATTAGTCCCTTACCATTAATACATATTTTTAATCGGAACTAGAAGAAAACATGTTAAAACAATCCTTCCCAAAATCAAGGTAGTTGGCAGAAAAGCATTTTCACACACGGGAATTTGGTAAATTATGAGGAAGATGATGGTGTTGGCTTGGTTTGGTTAGAGCCATGGACCGTGGTGGAGTGAGTGTAACGGTCAAAAAAGTATATATATATGTTAAAGTGTGGAGCAGCTTCTTAAAGCTAGAGTAGGAAATTACTAACAAAATGCCGTGGGCTGGGGTAAGTGGGGCAGATGTCGTTCGGGGCGTTCAGACTGATTTTTTCTCCTGCCGTGGTAGACGGGGTACGACGGCGGAGGACACATCCATCAAACCTATGGTGGACTGGTGGAGCTTAAGCGGGCCGTACAAAATTAGTGAACAACGCGTTTTTTTTTTTTTTTTTTTTTTTTTGGTTTTTTACCCGGTATCCAGAGTTTTACCCCGACTAATACGAACTGACTAGCATCGCGTACTTAAAAATGATGAATGAGTCTTCCAACAAAAATTACTGTATACACAAAATCTCAAACTCGAAACTTTGCTTAAGTTAGCACAAGTCGCTTATCACAAAATCCAATCCTTCGTTGTAACAACGCGTTTTTTTTTCTTTGAACGAAGTCTTTTTCAGGTTTGTGTACAATGTGTACTTTAAAATTAATTTTTTTTGATTACGTAGTGTAATGTTTTATATATTTTTTAAATATTATATAAATAATTAAAGAGATGTGAAAATTAAATTTAAATTTAAATTAAATCTCAATTTATGTAATCAAATCAAATACTTAATATAGTTAAGCAATCAAATTAAATTTCTCCCCTTCGCTCTCTTCTAAATTTTTATTATCAAAATAAAAAAATTTTCTCCTCTTCTCACCTCTCCCCCTCTATCCCTTCCAATCAAATAAATTATAAAAAAAAAGGAAAAATTAAAATGTTTTGTGATTAAAAGTATTAAGATGTTTAATGATAACTAAAAATTTAATAAAATTAAAATTTACATCATACCCTACATATTATATAATTATCATTAAATATGTTGCTACTAAAAATAGCAAGACATCATTATTTTTCATTTTCTCATAAATGATTAAGTGGTTTTTTTTAGGCACTTGCGATTGGCTTAACCAGATAAATTCTCCTGTACCATCATTCGTTAACTTCACACGTACTCTTCATATCATTTTATAAATTTATGACCTTTTATGACTCAAAGCGCGTCCACCGTTTGTTTGAGGCATTCAAAAAAGAATTAAATGCCTTGTACCCAGCTCAGAGTCGCCGACCCACTTCTTTCATGAAAACGTTATCCCCCTAGTTATTGAACAATGCATAACTTCTAATTACTATTAATGGGACAAAAATAAATTTTTTTTTTTTTTAACATTTTGTCATGGGACCGGTTCGAACTGTTGCTCTGGGAAAGGGGATATGAACCTTACAAACATGGTTAGAGCCATTTGACTCGAAGAGTCAAGTTCAAAATTAAATCCTGTTTTGTAAGTTGATTACAATAAATTAATATAAAAGTGTGTCATTTTAAAATGACATTTTTTAATATAAGTTTTTATGGTGTATTTTATTGTATATTTTTATTAAATTTACATAAAAAATTATAAAAAATAAATCTTATTTTTAATATCAATATCACATAAAATAATTTAATTAATTATTTGATAAAACTTAAATTATATTTTATTTTTTAATGTAAATTACTGATAAAAAAATACAATAAATTTATCTCTACACAAGTTTAAAAATTTCAATTAAAAATTAAAATTACCAACTTATTAAATATAAAATCTTAAAACAAATACTAAAAACTCTAAATTTAATTAATTTAAAGAAAATTTTAATTTTATTTTAAAATTTTAAAATTTTTAAAAATTAAAACTATAAACTCAAAACTCAAATTATTCTATTCTAAACGAAGACTATATATATTATATTCAGTCATGTGGGGGAACACATGTGAGTTTCACCCACCTAGCTGATGTGAGTTTCACCTACCTAGCTGGCTATGGATGTCTCATGCGTAGTAGTATAGCCAGAAGCATCTGTGTACGAAGTGGTGAAAACCCATCGGAAATTTCAGCCGCCAATGACCTTCCTCCAGCCACGAACAACCAACAAAGAATTTTTTGTCACCACACTTTCTAGAGGCGCTGCACAAATTAAAATCTAAGCTGCAATAACTTGAATACGTATTCAGGTGATTTGATTCCATTTGTTCAAATTTCGAACTTGATTGGAGATTTAATTAAATTCCACAAAGAAAATAGAACCATCTAAATCCAGTTTGTTTAGTCGGTTTCGTTCAAAGTAGAAGGCAATGCCTCAGCATATTATTGGTCGTAATAAATCTATGGACCACAAAACTAGCTATCATGGTGACATTAGTACTACAAAATTCAATTCGGGAAAAAAGACATATAAATGATTGTCAGTGGGGGTCCCTTTGCCATGTGATTATCAATGGAAAGCACAGCTAAAAAAGTTATAGCTACATTTCAGCCATGTTCACAACGGCGAATGAATTCTGCTCTGTTCCCCATTTTTTATGAGACCCCACCCTACCATCCAGGATTCTTCTCTTAGATGACAAAGACTTGACTTGGCTACTAAGAACTTGGACCGTGTATGTCTAAGTCTAACTAATAAAACATGCTTCAGAAAGCAGAGGCATGAACCCTGCAACGTATACATTGCTGGATGCTAATTCAAAAGAGTAGTTGTGAGTTGAATCACATATTCACATTGGGACAAGGACTTGTCTAGGCTTCAAGGTTTAAGAAGAATGACTCTTTGCTTTGATTCTTCTTGTTTTCAGACATCTATATCCAATCAAATTTATTACTATTCCAAATTTCCAACTACAACAACCAACACCCAGAATCAAACGAGATTCAACTTTAGAATAACATATCTCCAGAATAGCAGAAAATACACAGATATATAAATAACATTTCCGAAAGAAAATCATTACAAAAGATAGGTTCCAGTTATAAGCAGATGGGGACAGCAAAAGGCTAAAGCTCACGACAAAAAACACTCAACTGGTAACAAACATGATAAATAAATAAATAAAGTCATGAGGATGTTTGGACGGTGGTAAACCGTTGGAGAAGACCAGATCATGGCATTTATATGACTAATGCACCAGTCAGCACAGAGACATAGACAGCAATTGAATAGAGGGTATAAAAGAAATCAAAATCACCCTGCAACTGTCAAGTAAATAATAAATGAATGAAAACAGGAAGCAAAACTTTTGATTAGAACAAGTCTCAGTTACCCTCCTGAGTGGGAAACTGGGGTAGTTTCGAACCGGCCATCCTTGAATTCGTTGAGGAACTGTTGTGGCAAAGCATGCTCAATCTACGACAAGAAACATCATAAGTTATCCACAGTAGTAAACTAAACGGAACCAAATTTCTACATAGTTGTTCAACACTTGGTTTTATTAAGAAAATTTAACTAGTCAAGTTAAAGCTTACAATTCAGGCATATGTATTTCAGAATTTTCAGTTTTTATTCTTATGTTATTAATAAAAAAGGAAGACAGAGAACATAATAAGCATTTCTTCGGATTTGCATAAAGACAGCATGCAAAATGTGTGACCTCAATTTTGTAAAGAATTGAATTGCAATTAACATTCGACATTATTAACAAGAGGGTAGAGCTGTTTCCAGACATGCACACGCCCGTCACATTTCTATAAGATTTGAATCACAAGAAAATACAGAAGAATGCAATTTAGGCATACTGCAAAAATGATGGCGGAAATTTGAACCATCAAGGCCCACTTTGCAGAGAAATTCTCAATGAACAAAAGATTGAAATGCAGCTGAGAGAAAACTTGTCAACTTACCCAATCACCATCAGTATCATCACCAGGAACTAAAACATTAATCTCGGTTGCCTTTGCTGTTGTTATAGATGTCCCCAAAGATTCTTTGCTTAAATATAATTGACAGCCAGCTGTGTTGTCCACTGAAATTGTTGGAGCCGAACCCTAGAACAATGAAGAATGGGTAAATATGACTAGATCACTCTGTTAATAAGTAAAATTCAAAATTAATTACAAGTCAATCATTTTAAATGATTCTATGAAATCTAGCTCTTGTAAACAATATGAAAAAGGAGTCAGCTAATTTATGTGACATAAGATATTACCGAGGCATGTATATCCAAAAGATGAGGAAGGATAAGAAGAAAGATACCTGACATTGCACCTCAACAGAATTGCAATTTACTATCTCACATGCAGCAACAAGATCCTGATTATCCAAGTCAACATATAAGAGGCTATAAAATTTTGTGTAATGCTTATAAAATCTCAAAACAATAGTAGTGATTACCCTTATTAAAATATTTTCTACTAACCTTGAATACAACTCCTATCTTAGTGCATTTGTCCACAGTTATATTGTTCACTTTTCCTGCATATTGCCAGAATGATTATAAGTTGCTTATGCATTTTTTCAACAGGTTATGCAAAAACACGCTGTTTATAGGACATAGCAAACTAGTATAAAAATGATTCCTGTGAAATGATGTGCTGATGATTGTAAAATTACCTTGAATCTGCAAAACAGAATCTTTGCACCCATAAATATATACTGTCTGCTTTGAATCACAATTATCAATAACTAAGTCCTTTTTTCCAATTTGGTTCTCAACAACCCACCTGGAAAGGGATGCAGAAGTGGCATCAACACATTGCACAGCATCAGCAACAACTCAAAAAAATTAATGAAACTATAACCTCTAAACTTATCATGCAGACTTACTTGCGACCCATATGAAGCTCTAGTTTTGGCGGACCTATTTTGGAGACAGAATAAGACGAACTAGCAGGAGTTTCCTTTTCAGTGACTGGAACAATACCAGTTCTGTCTGTCCGGTTCTTCGTCTTCATATCAGCTGTCACCTTCCTAAGACCTAAGAGTCAAGTCAATATCATCATCATCACATCACTGCTGCCCAATAACAAAAGAAAAGGGTGAAACAAAATAGTGGAAGAAGTAGGAAGCACCCGATTACCAGCAGTGATGTTCCCTGAGCTGATGTCTTGGAAAACAGCAGCCATACCATCCTTTGGACGTGATGAGGAAGGCTGAGAAGATTCAGAGGTCAAGATAGATGCTGGTGGAGGAGGTGGAGGAGCAGGTGCACCTGGTGTTGGAGCTTTTGCGGGAGCAGGAGATACTTTTTTGCCACTAGCATTCCACACTGGACCTAGAGGGTAATGGCTTTTGACATAATCCCGCAAACCAGGCAAATATAGCTCCTTCATAGCTTTTGCCCACTCTACATGATTTGGATCTTTGTTTTTATACTCTACAAGAACCTAAAATTTACAAGGCATGATGTCAGCACTAACCAAATCGTTTTACTTATGTCAGATGAACACAATATAAATTTGGATGGATGCTGGAATCTAGATGATAGGTGATGTAGAACAGGGAGCAAAGGTGAGGATAGAACTTAGAAACAGAGGCTATGGTGGGAAGAGAATAGTATTTCAATTCATAAACACTTCAACTAAATAATCTTAATATAATTTACACTTAAATATAAAAGTTAAAAACCAAAATTAGACTTACTTTTTAATTAGACTCCTAGTTGAATCTTTTTTGAAAGACAATAACAAATACTAATAAATATAAATTATTACTAATATTTCTATTTAATTCCTGTATATTCATAATCATAATAAAATCTTAATAAATAAATTATTTTCTTCCTTATCTGCATCAATAGGTTAGGATACTTCAGGAAATCACAGAGCACCAGGAACAATGAACAATCAATAATATGGCTACTGACTCAAATATAATAACATTTACTAACTTTATTTTCCTGTTATAATTTCTCAAAAATTAGTGTACAAAAAAGTGGTTTATCTGAGTCAGCACAAAAACATGTATTCAACAAAAAGATAAGCAAATAACAGCAGTGAATTTTACATCCTTATTATGCTTTGCTTTCTCTCCTTTTCAGCAATCTTAATAATGGTGCCGTACACCCAGAAATAGATAAAGTACCTTGTTGCTGTAAAATTCAGCCATTTGCCAACTTTCTTCAACATGTGCAATGGGCATGCTCATTCCTTAAATTAATTAATAAAAGATTATAAAAAATTAACAGCAGGGACTAGAAATCATAAACCAATGCCAAAGAAAATAATTAAAATGCTATTTGCACCAGCAAGTTCCGCACAATCTTGAACAATAGAATGGTTTGCAGTCCACTCGATTTGATAGCAGCACCAGCACTTATTCTTTTATTTTGGTAGATCGGACAGATGAATATTGCACTGGCCTCTTCATTGTGCGGAACTCTAATGCAGGATAGCCATGTGCAAATAGCATGACTCCATACTTTCTCTTACCACAATCTTTGCCAGTATATGCAATCCATGCTAAAGCTGTCAGACTGTCTGTAGCAGTCTTCAAGTGGTTGAAAAAGTCAGATCGCCTTCCTTCTGTCATTCTATGAGCTTTCATAATCACCTCATTAAATGGTTTAAGGAATTCACCCAAGCCTGCCATGTCAGGTTTCTGCACCAACAGAATAAAATACATTCAGCATTACCAATGGAATAGATCACATTCCACATCATACGAACTTGATACACAAACCAAATCAAGTAAAGGGGGAATAAAGGATATGGAACCAGAAGGGAACTGGTATCTAATTGCAAACTGCCCATTGTCATATGCCGGACTATCATAACATCAACAACTCATAGTCTCAGACATCAAAGATTTTATTTCCTTAACGAGATTATCTATGGAAAACTATCATTTTCACAAATACTCAACTGCTCATTCAATTCACTATTTCATCTTTGTCAATGATCTCCTTGATGATTCCTCAATCCATTGCCTAAAATAATCTCCTACCACCTCAATTAATATGAATTAGATAATTTGTCTCTATAAACCTCACGATCACCTAAATTTAGGGCCACAATCACGTAATTTAACGAGCACAGGATCATGAATCTAACGTCCTTCGTTTCAAAGTAGTCGACACAAAATCTGGTTAACTAATTAACACGAAGCGCATTCGAGCAAATAAAAAGAAAAAGAAATTCAACAAAAACCACTAACCTGAGTTTGCTTGATCTTAATTAGAAGCTCTCTTTGCACAGAAAACGCCTCAGCAATAATCTTAGTCACATCCAGCACCTGACCTCCAATCTTCTCCGCAGCAACCAAAACGACATCCACATACTGAGAGATCAAATCATCAAATGCCAAAATCGACGGATCCTTCACCGCGTCACCACCAATATCTACCGGAAACTCCCTCGAGAGTACTCCTGCTGGGCTCGATAGCGCCTCCAGCCGCGTTACCGCCGCTTCCAGTCTCTCTATCAGCTTCCCTTCCATAACTACTCTTTCTCCTCACCCTCCTCCCTCCGTTCTCTAGAAATTCTGATTTCTGAATCTGTAGTTTCTCCGAAATTTCTCTCGGTAGGAGAGATCCGTTTTTTTGTGCGCAAATGGTATGGTAGTTAATGCCGTTCGTGTACGAGGAAATTTTATTTTATATTTCTCCCTCTCTCTTTTTTTTTTTTTTTTTTTTTTTTTTTTTTTTTTTAAATATATATATATATATATTTTAACATTAGAGACTAAAAACGATCTTAATTTAAAGTCTTAAGTTGGTAATTACTTCAGATATCTCAGGGAGCACCTCTTAATTAAATTTGAAGAATGAAATTGTTGATTGGTGTAGGGTTCTGCTCGGTTAAATTATAGCAGGGAAGCTCACAGAAATTGCAAGACATTAATATACTAGTATTTTTTTTTGAATATATTGAAGAAATTAACTACTGGACATTGCATTGCTTTTAGGATAAAAAAACAATCAATGGTGGGTATTGGCGTCATAGAGAAGAAGCATGTGCTTCCTTTGATTATCTATCATGGAGGTCTCTTTCTCAGGAAAGTGCTCCTTACTGGTACTGTTCAACCAACTTACGTGAGAGAATTTCCTAGGATGGTGTGGCCCAAATATTTCGTTTATTTCAATTCAAATCTCGATTCTGGGATTAAGATCAAATGTTTTAATCCACGCATTAATCACGCCAACTCGTTTGTTGTTTGATGGAATCCAGCAACTGCATCCAGGCTTCGGCAAATCCACCTTCCCATCCTGGATGGTCTTCATTTGGGTTGGCGTGAAGGTGAATACAAGTACATATTTACAAGGCTCACATATATATCTAATATGCTGCAATGTATTAGCAAATGTATGGGACAGAGGAAAATATATATGCACATTCAGGACGTGTAACATTGTAATGGAAATCTTATTCTACAACATAATCTGACCTCAGAAACTGTAAGGCCTTCAACACAGAGCAATTATCGCCACCTTGGTTTCTCTTCATCGCCACCCCCACCTTGCTTTGCTGGGTATGGAACTCCATGGGACATGGCTACAGAGGAAGGAACAGGATCTCTATCTCGAGGTGGTCGGTGTTCCTGTGTAGCACAAAACAGATGGTAAATAGAAGCAGCTACAGAACACGAGCTTTCTTCTTCTTCTTTCTTTCTTTCTTTCTTTCTTTCTTTCTTTCTTTCTTTTTTTGGAAGGATAAATGCACATGTGAAGAAAGGGAGCAGGAAAGGGCTTACAGAACGAAAAGGAAAGTCATCTGCCTCAAGCATATGAACTATCTGCCCCATCTTTGGCCTTTTATGAGCATCCAAGTCTATACAGCGGAGACAAACAAGCAAGGCTCGTTTTAAAGCTCTAGGAGAGGGCTGAACTTCAATCAATGGGTCCACGAGCTCTTCTCCACGACGACTTGCAACCATTCCTTTAAACCAGTCAACCAAGTTCATCTGAAATACACATCCAATGGAAACAGCATTATTAGTGCTCTTATTGCAAGACAATGATACCACAAGGCACAGGATGAACACTGTTTTCACCTCTCCAGCTGGTCTAGAATAATCAACTGGGCTTCTGCCTGTAATTATCTCCATAAGCAGAACTCCAAAACTATAGACATCACTTCCCTCATTGAGCATACCTGTGCTAGCATATTCAGGGGAGACGTACCTGCAGCAAAATCACCAACACACAATGGTTAGAACTAATAACCAAAAGTCTATTTGCCATCTACCTCAAACCATCAAAATTGTTATTTATTTAGGAACAAGAGAAAGAACAAACCCAAATGTTCCCATCACTCGAGTTGTCACATAGCTTGATTCAGACCCTAACAACTTTGCCAATCCAAAATCTGAGACTTTTGGGTTCCACTTCTTGTCCAGAAGAATGTTACTTGATTTTACATCACGGTGCACAACTTTGGGTTCTAATCCTTCATGCAAATACGCTAGCCTGCAGAGAAATAAGAACAACAAATTAAAATTTGATTCAAAAGATGACAGCAAGAAAGACAAACAAAAGAATAGCTTGAATAAATTAACAAGGAAACGTGAACTGAGTCTCGAAAACCATAGTTCAGTTAAAAGTTAATTAGCAACTTCAACACTCAATTTTTTTCTCTTTTTGCTTTTATTCACGGAATCTAATCCTATCCCTAAAGATTAAAATAATGTTTTTGACAGGTATTGTTGGAGTGACAAAATCAATGCATATTAAGACGGTAACCAACACCCCAGTTAAAAGTTACTCTTTGTGATGCTCCAATAAGCTGAATTCAATAATTTAAAAACAGAAAGTACTTCCTTCACAAAGAACCAATCTAGCAAAGACAAACAAAGCTTCATATATTTTTAAGGATCAGAATACCACACCCTTTTGCCGTCCCTATTGCAATCTTCATTCTTATATCCCAGGTTAGAGGGCTAACAGGCCCTACATCACCATGCAACCATTGCTCTAAGTTCCCATTGTCGATGTATTCATACACAAGCATCCTGTATAAAAAACACGAGTTTCCAGTGAGGAACTAAGAGTGCAGAAGTCCAAGCTTCCAACTTTCTTTAATCACTTTATTTCTCCTAGTTAATTTCCACTTGAACGTAGATGTTAAAATGAATAAATCCCTTGGCATTCAGAAATCACCTTTGAGAACCCTCTGCACAGTAGCCAATCAGACCCACCAAGTTCTTGTGCCTAACTTTCCCAATGGCTTCAACTTCCACCTTGAACTCCCTCTCTGCCTGACCCCTATCCCTATGAAGAAGATAACCCCCACAATTAATCTAATAACAAATCAGAATACAAAAATAGCCTTGTCCATATAAAATATAATTTGAAAACTTCAACCAGTGAAAACCCCAAATCCAGCTAAGAATGGTATGATTAAAAAAAGAAAAGTGCAGGTAATTAAGGAAAAACCAAAAGTTAAGTCCAAAGATTAGACAGCCGATCAGGGACAAAATAATATAAGATAAAGCAAAAGCAAAGAACATGCAAATTTTAGGATTATTAAATTAACAACCTGTCTTGGTCCTATTGGATCTACCAGAAATGAAAACAAACAAAGGGACTGGGGTAGACAACAACTGACTGTTGACTGAAATTTTCCACTAAAAATTTTGCAAGAATTCAACATGCAATTCCACCACTAATCTTGAAAGTTTAAAACTCTAGCCTCCTGAAGATTTTCTCAGAAACTGGTTTTTGTTTTCCCTAGGAACAAACACAGCAAAAGCAAAGGACTCAATTGAAGAACACAGTAGTATGTCTTAGATCTAACAGATGGATGCAGTTTTAAGTGAAGAATTTCAATTAAATTCATTGTTGACGAACTTGTTACTGAGCAGATTCTTGACAGCCACAACAGAACCGTCCTGTAAAATGCCTCGGTAAACGACGCCGTATCCTCCTTCTCCGATCACAAGCTCCTCCGCGAATCCACGCGTCGCCTCCTCCAGCTCCTTCAAGCTGTACCACCGGCCCCAGCCAATGTTTTGCACCTCCACCGACACATCACTTGATCTCAGCGAGTCATCACTCGCTCCCTCCCCCTTCTTTGGATCCTCACTTTCAGTTTTACAATCGTCAGGAAAGCAGTCTACCTTCGGATTAACGGACTTGATCTCCAGGATCTCTTTGGATACCAATGGAATTAGACCGGAGCTGTGCTTCACTTTCCGTTTCCGCGAGCTTCGACCCAACCGGATACAAAGAAACATCGTGAGAGAAATCAGAATGCAGAATACAAAAATTGCGACTACAATGTAGAGTTTCAGGTTGAGCAACGGTGTTTTTGAGGATAGGATGTGAGAAAAAGAGTTGCCGCTGTGGTCGGGTTCGCCGGAGACCGGCATTGGTTCCGGCGACGGGAGGAGAGTGGAAGGAGGCGAGTGTGTTTCTACTGTGTGGGTATTACAGTGGGAAAGAGATAAAGAGCGTTGGGATGATGAGAAAATCTCAGAAAGAAAATCAGAGAGGATTTGGAGCCAAAGGAAAAGCAGAAAAAGAGACGCCGGAGTGGAGTGCAGTGGAGTGGAGTGCAGTGAAGTGTTGCAACGGACACAAAGGGGAAAAGAGGAGTGAAAACGACGGGATGGTGTGTCATACCATTTTTGGGTTTGCGTATGTCCGTTTATTTCAAAAATGCCACTCGATCGTACCATGATTAATGACTAAATTAAGGGCATATTCCGTTAAACTTGCGATAGCTTTTTTTTTTTTTTTACTATTTACTATGGATAAATTTAAATTTTTATTGGAAAAAAATTAAAAATTGTAATTAGAAAATGTAAAAAAATGAGTAAAAAAAAATTTATAAAAAACATGAATTTAAAACTTTTTAAAATTTACCATTTAGAGTTTTTTTTTTTAAAAAAAATAATAAACATAAAATTTTTTTAAAAAAATTTAAACTTATAAAATATAAATAAAAAAAAATTTAAAGCATTTATAAGTTTCGCACAAAATGCTCTAAGCTACAAACAACCTTTATGGGATTGTAAATAAATCTTGCTTATTATGAATTATGTTGCCATTCTCTTATTTTTTTATATTTATATTGTTTCATTTGGCTGATTGTAAATTTTTTTTAATTGGTAGCAGAGTGAAAACACACGTAAATTTAATAAAATCTTTTTTAAATTTAAGATTGCGTTTCTAATCTTTGTCTTTTAGTTAGGAATTTAATTCGAAACACTTAATAAATATTAATTCTTATCACTGTAACCAAATTATTTGTTTACATGATTAGCACCAATAACATTTGGCTAGATTTGGACTATGTTACTAGGGCTTAGGGATTAAGATTGTGAGCTCACGATTTAGAAATTACAATTTAGGGTGTTTAGGCATTTAGATGTTTAAATTGTAAAATTTTACAGTTTAGGGTTCTCAAATTTAGAGTTTAAGATCTACAGTTTTAGATTTAAGAGTTACGTTTTTTAGGTCTAGGGATTTATATTCTATAGAGTATATGGTTTAGGATATAGAATTTAGAGGGTTTAATTACGACTTGCGTGTCCAACAACTTAGATTCTCAATACTTACACTGACACATAGCATAAATGCCAATTGGTGAACCATAGGGACCACGGCACGGCATTGCTAATCATATCATTGCAATATGAGACAACAAGCATTTCTCTTGGTGATTAAGTTCCTTAATATCTACAAAAGATCACCAGACAATGAGAGATTAAGCATCTGCAAGAGACAGACATTAGGTTAATGAAATCTATTTTACTGTTCAAGTTTCAGCAAACCATTTTCCATGAAGTTATCCAATTAGACAATGAGATCAGATCCTCTCCCCTGACGTACAACACAATTTTAAACCCAACAAAATTTGCCAGACTTTGAACCCCGTGTGTCACTTGTCTTAACCTTGATTGTCCAGACTCCAACGTTAACTCCCCACCTAATGCCTTTGTCAAGCACTTCTCATTTGCTTTGTTTAAATTAAAGTCTAAACAAACGATTGGGGTACAATTTTCCTTTTTGTATTTCTCTTTGATTTTGTACTCTTTTTTCAGTAGGTGAAAACTTTCCTATTTCATATCTCTGTTTTTCTTATTTAGATCATGAGAATTCTTGGGGATTAAGTAGTCCTAAATTTCGAACTTTTATTGCTTGTAATGTAAATAATGTACCATGTCAAGGGATTAGCTTAGTCAGCATGGTTTTTCTCAAAAGTTCCAAACTTGCTGATATGATACCACTTCACATGATAATGGCACCATTACCCAAATGGGTTGGTTAAGTTGGATGGGTATTGTGCCATTGTGGGTTAAATGTTATATAGGTTATCATTATTATTTTAACAGGCATAATTTGGAGGTAAGAGATGAGGAATTGTAACATAATAGAATCGCAATTTGAATTTTGATTATTGCCAAGATATTGAATGTACTTACTAAGTGACTCATGAGATCTTATGCTACATAAATTCGGTTAAATAAATTCGTAAAGTGGAAAAAATAACTTACAACCATATACATTTCACAATTTTATGAGTTGTGGCCATGAGTCAAATGAATAGATTTAAACCAATTCACAAGTCAAAAATCCATACCATAAATACTCATTTTAAATGGTTGGGTGGTTTTGTTAGTAATATTGGGAAGAAATTGAGGTGGTTTACCTAGCTGTCTAGCAGGAAATTAAGACAATTGTTGATACCAGTAGGAAAATGGCGCGGGCACTAGGGAAACATTAATGATTTTTGCAAACAAATCGTGACTTGTGACTTAGGGGAAGATGTGGATATTCAATTCATGTAGGCTGAGGTCGTTTGAGTAGAGGAATTCAAATTTCTGTGGCCACGTTTTCAAGTATAAAAAAAACAAAAATGGTTTTTGCAATTAGACCTGTATGGAAGTGCAGAAGTTAAAGTTTTTGAATGGATGATACCTAAAACATGCAAAGTTAACAACCACATCTAAAACATAGATGAAACTGAGGCAGATATTGGTCTTGGCAAAGAGATAAGTCATGCAGCAAGAGGTGAATATAACTACTCAAATGAAAGCCAAGTGGGGGGTATTGAATGACTGAAGCCCTTAATCTGTCACCTCACCGAGGAACAGCAAACTCTAGGAGATAACAATGAAGATATGGAAGCTGAATTAGCTAGATGATCATTAGGCAAAAAGTATATGTTGAAGAAGGAAAGAACTTCATAGAAGAAGATAATTAAGAAGGAAAATGGTGAAGAATGCATTATGTTAAGCAGGAAACAACTTCATATATTAATTCTCAATGACACTTCGCACCATAAATACAACCTACAATGCATCCTGAGTTCCTGACCATCAATTAATAACATAACGTAGCAATACTAAGGATGCCACAAAGCTGCTGCCCATAAGTAACATAGCGCGGCATCCAATCTCTCCAAATTAAGTTTGAAAAGAACAAAAGAGAAATGTTTCACTAAGCTTTAATGGTTAACTGCTAGAGCTTGGAGCAAAACTGAAAAGCTTCTCTCCTCTCCATTCTAAATTCACACTACCTAGTTCAAAGTCTATCAGAATAAGTGAAATACAAGATTCAATAACCTCAGTCAACAAGTCTGCATACACCGTCAAATATTAGAATACAAAGACCAAATTATCCAAGACTAGAGCATTTTGTTTTCCTTTGACATAGATACAGAAAATGAATCCTATCCATTATTGTTCAAGGCAATCCAGTCATCGTTTTCACAAGGGTGTTGCAAATCCTATTGCATGAAGTAGAAAAGCACGTCAGAACACCCAATTTATGTCAAGATATGTTCCTTGCTGCTTATTAAAGAGTGAATGGTATTTACTTGTTATGCATAAAACACAACACAGTAAATCTATACAATAATATATATATATATATATATAATTTTTTGGCCAGCAATTGATGTAATGAGTTTAGGAGGTACTTCTATTAATATGAGAGAGTAACATCCCATAATTGGTTTTTTCCCAAAATATTTAAAAGGAGAAAAGGAAAAGGCAACAAAATTTTCAAATATAAATCCTCAGTTTATGAGCTGCTCTCACACTAAATGGAGCCTTAGCTACTACAAGTTTAATATGATAGTCAATAAGGTAAAAAAAAAAAAAAGAAAAAAAGAAAAACAGAAAGTATCAAACATTAACAGTATAAAAAGCAAATTCTTTCTCCAACACTCTTCTCTCGCGCATTGGTACAAGCAAGTGCATTATTAGAGAAAAATTAGATTAAAGGGATGGTTTAGCAGTTGTGGTCAGCTGAAAGCCCCAAAACAGTTTGGTAAAATTTTAGATCAGCTTGTGATAAGATGAAACAACTATGTAACTAATAAAGTTCTGGAACAGCTGTGTAGGTTAGCATTGGATTCAACAGCTTCTGCTAAATTATCAAATCCTATATTTTCTCTTCAACCCTCCAACCGCTGCCCCCCTTTTCAGCACAGAACAAACATAATCAATATAAAGGATAGCGAAACAATAACAGCTAACAGGCATATACCAAACCATAATCTCGATTAAGTACCTACTCTCTGCTATCAACTACCAGCAATCAATTTATGCAAGCCTAAGACGCAAAGGAAACAGTTCAAATTTGACGATAAGTGCGTTAGTCTATGTGGATTCACTATAAATCTCTCATACTGCTTGCCAATTCCAATTCCAATGAACCCAAAATCAACAAAAATTCAACTAAAAGAATTACCTTGAGAGAGGCAACTCCAATAGGATGAATCAATAGCGATGTTTGATATGAGCCGAGCAGATGCAATGGCACTATGGAGGGGCACCAATGAGTCCATACTTCCCAAGACCGTAACAAACCTTCAAAACCCAATAAATAAATCGCCAAGCTTGCCAAGGATCTCATACTTTCAGCAAGAAACATTCAATACATAAATAAAGAAACAGAGAAAGTTGGTACCTTGAAGCGCAGGGGAGGAGAGCTCTTGTTGACGGAGAAGAAATAATAAAAGATATGGGCTTTAAGGTAACAGCTACTTGGGTTAATGCTCTGGATCGAGAAGCGACGGTTCTCGAATCCGCCATTATTGCCGACCTGCAAACCAACGCCATTTCGGCCGCTACGAAGTCACTGAAATGAAGCCAATTCCTTAAACCCTACATTTTGAGATTTTAGAAATGATACAAGGAAAGGTTAACTGCCAAATTTCATCCTCAACTTTTAATTTTGAACAAATTTCGTACCTTAACTCTTTTTAGCACTTTTTTTTTGCCTTTTAACTTTAAAAAATCCATACTTTTAGTTCTTAGTAAGTTAATTTATTAAATAAATTTATATATATGTTTTAAATTATTAAACTTATAATATATGTTTTTTAATTTATAAATTTATAAATTAAAAATAAACATATATAAACAAATTTAACAAAATAACTTATGTGAATTAAAAAACCAACAATCTATTGTTCTTAATGGAAAGAACTTGACTTTATTTAAAAAAAAAATTTGAGTTTGAACCTTATAAATAGATTTTCTAATGCATCAAACCAACTGAATTAGTTAAGATAAAAAAAAGAAAAAGAAAAAACATTTTTCACATTTTAAGAATAAAAAAATGTAAAAAATTGCTCATTGAATCTTTTAGGCAAAAATCTACTTTTAACCTCTCACCTTGTCAAGTTTGAAGGTTTTAGCCTCTTACCTTATATTATAACATTTTTAGCTCATCACTTTACTAGATTTGTAGGTTTTAACCCCTCATATTATACTATAACACTTTTAGCTCCTTACCTTATACTATACTATGACACTTTTAACCCATTACTTATTAAAATTAAAGAAAATAGCTTTCATTTTATAACATTTTGTTAGTTTTGTTAGTTGATTGTTAACTTTATTAATTGATTGCTAATTGACTGTTAATTGTCAAAAACCTTCTTTCAGTTGATAGAGTTAACAGAACTAATTTTATAAAATTTGGTAATTTTGTTAATTGGCTATTAGTTGACTGTTGGTTGATAAAAATCTCTTTAGCTAACAAAATTAACAATCAGTATAAAGTGAGTGCTATTTTCTTTGATTTTAATACGTAATGGGCTAAAACTTACAAATTTAGTAAAGTGAGTAGCTAAAAGCGTTATAGTATAAGGTAAAAGGCTAAAACCTTCAAACTTAATAAGGTAAGAGACTAAAAGTAGGTTTTTGTCAATTTTCTATGCCAAAAAGGGCTAAAGGCCATTAAAACCCAATATCAGTATAAGCCCAATTTCAGATGGGCCCAATTTCAGATTTTTGCCCTAATCCTTAAAATGCTATGACCGAGCAAGCAGAACCGAGGAAGGAAGGATTCTAAAGAAACAGCCATGGCGGAGGATGCCGTATTGGGGTACTTAGCAACTCATGAAGAGATGCTGGACTCAGGTCAGTTTGCCTCCGAACATGGGCTTGATCATAACGAAGTCGTCAACGTCATCAAGAGCCTCCATGGTTTCAGATACATCGACGCTCAGGTACTCTACAATCCACATAGACTCTCCCATCTCTTCCCCGATGCTCACTTTCATTGTAGAAACGAGTATTGTTGTTGAGAAATGAGAAAATGATATCATACTCAGTTATGATTGTTGTTGGTTTTGTCTGGGTTGCTATTTCATGGTTCTAAATAACGAGAAGTGAAGGGTGGATTGATTATGGGATTTGAATTTTGTGTAGGATATAAAGAGGGAAACTTGGGTTCTTACAGATGAGGGAAAGAAGTATGCTGCTGAAGGGTCCCCTGAAGTGCAACTGTTCTTGGCCGTGCCACCAGAGGGCAGCATTTCGAAGGACGAACTGCAGGTGAGTTTAACTTGATTTTGTGGTAATTCTGTCACCCAAGTGCGAAAATTAGGATAGACAGAAATGCCAGGGCCAGTGCTAACTTGTCCTTAATTGTTTGTTGTAATCGTGTGTTTATGCAGAAAAATCTTGATCCTTCAGTTTTCAAAATTGGCTGCTCACAAGCTGGAAAAAACAAATGGGTGGAGATGGGAAAGCAAGTATCCAGGAAGGTAAATTGATTCACTGTAAAAGACTTCTTTCCTGTTCAGTAAAGGTCTGAACTGCGTGGAACTATTTTCATTGCCATAATTTTGTTAGTTTTACTCTCTAGTCTTGTGGCACTTGTCCTCTTGTTCCATGAATTTATTTCCTTTTTTGTTCAAAAGAATCAATTCATAATTTCGTATAAGTTCAGTTATGATGTAAGCTTTTTGTTAGGTTGAGTTGTGCTAGTGATTTTTGAAAATATTTCCATCTCTCTGCTCAAGTTGTTGCTAAATGTAGGTTCAACATGTGGAGGACAAGGTCAAGAATTTGCTTATGCGGATACAGGATGGAGAGGTATAATGAAATTTTAACGAATTAACCCTATTTTTGCACCATGCTAGTTCATGCAAAATAGACAGTGATTAGTTATTTTTTCTTTTCTGTTTTTGAGATGCAGTATGAGTTTTTATACCATTTCTTGTGGTATGATTCTGTCATGGTTTGTGTGTTGTAGAACTTACACTTATGTTGCATGTAGAAAGATTGCTTCTATGATAGTATAAGGTGTAAAGGATGACACACGGCTTATTATTTAGCAACCATTACATAACTGGTCTTGCAAAAATGACTATATAATTCTACAGTATCTTGCATATAATAGATCAAAATGATATGTGAACCGTAGCTAGGGTTTGGGTGGTTTACAAAAGGATTTTATATTTCATGGTCGATATGGTGATTGATGATGGCTCTTTGCTGTATAAAACCTCCCTAATTATGAATATTTTTAGTTTTGCCTTTTCCTTTCAATTTATTAAATGTATTTGCTTTATTTTCCAGGCACTTGAAAAAGATGATATCAACTCACTTAAAGCAAGAAAGCTTATTGTCCCACAGTAATATCGGTTTCCTTACTCCAAGTTTGTATTGTTGGCTTGTGACTATTCCAACATATGCACATTCCATTTGTATTGTTGACACTTTCCTTGTTTTCCACTAGGACATGGAAGGGTTACTCTGTCAAAAAAGGTCCTAACTATGCTCCCAAAAGAAAGAAAGTTGCTACTGATTTGACACGAGAGAATCTTCAGAGGTAAGTAATTGACTTACAAAAATGCATGACTACATAGGTTTCTGAGTTTTGAAGATGAAGCTTAATCTCTAACTTCTTTTGTTGAATTAATGATACATTCTGCTAGCAAGGTCAGTGCTTGGGTTGGCTGATAGACATGTGCCTTAAAATTAATATTAAGACTTGCATAAGCATATATACATTGCATAAGATTAATTGGTAATTGACAAAAAGTTTGTGGGTGTACCTGTAGATAAGTAAGGTAAATATGATTTTGCTCCAGACGGAGTTAACTGCAAGTGCTTCTTGGTCTCAGTTGTCTTCAGACATAAAGGTTATGACACTGGCAATTGATGTTTATTGAGTAAAATAATTTTCTTTTGTATCTATCAGGGGTGACTGGAAGGAGTTAGAGTTCAAAGAGTATAACTTTAATGCTAAAGGACCTCCTGCTGAAGCCGGCCATCTTCATCCGCTGCTCAAGGCAAGGATAGAGATGTTTCTTTTTCTCTAGTTCCAATACTTTTAGAGAATGTTTTACCTTTAACGGTGTAAATTACAGAATAAGTTTTCTTAATGTATGTCATTTGATTTCAGGAAAAATGGTTTTCCAACATTGATTGTAGTTTTGTTAATTTTTGCAATAAATCATCTTTAATTATTGGTATTTAACATTAACAACAAGAGAAATGATTATGTAGAAAGTTTGTGGTTGTTTCTATGTTAAATGATAGAAAATGATGCTTGATGGGCTACTTTCCAGTTTCTTTGGTCAAAGAAGGAATTCTTCTTCTTACATCTATGTAAACATGTGCCTATCATGTACAAGAGTAGAGTCTTTGGATGATTGTTTTTGTGGAATTAATATTCTCAATCCTTGTTTTGTTTCCAGGTGAAAGATCAATTGAAGAACATATTTCTTCAGATGGGGTGAGGATTAAGCCTTATTATTTGAAAATCTTGCATGTACATACTAATATTACAGTAGTCTTCCAATCTTCATTTACATGCCAGTGCCAATTGTGCAATTCATGTGAAATAACAGCTATCTAATACCACTTGTGGAAAGTAAACAGCAGACTCTGAATTTCTTTCTTTTTGATTGTTTCTATTGTTTTCTTACTTGGTGATTTGGAAAGCATCTTGCATAATGCCACATTAAACAGAAATACTTACATAAACCTGTGTATTTGTTATAATGCTCTTTTCCTTTTCATTGCATTTTATATTGTTTTTCAAGTTTCATATTGATATGCTTCGGTTTTGTGCTGGCTGCAGTTTTGAGGAGATGCCAACTAACAACTTTGTTGAAAGCAGGTAGTTGATTTTGCCATCACATTCTTATTTTTTGCTTGATTATCTATAGGCCTTTAACATGCTTGTAAGTCGTAACATAGAGAGGTTACATTGCATTCAAGGCATATGTAATAGTTTTCTGTGTAAGAGGTTACATTCAAGATCTGAAGATGAGATTGTAATGAAAATTCTTTACTGTAAAGAAGGAACTTGGAATTCAGGCTTTTTGCGCTCATGCTCAGTTGTTCATTTTTAATGTCTGATAAGGACCAGAAATATGCACCATAGAATCTTATATTATATTTCTTTGACTGACTGCTTATGGTTTATTGTTTTGGTGTATAGCTTCTGGAACTTTGATGCATTGTTCCAGCCACAACAACATCCTGCTCGTGATTCCCATGATACATTCTTTTTGGAAGGTATGTTTGACTTGAATGCTTAATTGGTAAGAAGGCCCTTTCGGGTATTGATTGTTTTGATGATTTTTTCTATAAATTGTTAGTTCCTTCCACTACAAGGCAATTGCCTGAGGATTATGTAGAGTTGGTGAAGCGTGTTCATGAGGATGGCGGTTATGGCTCCAGAGGGTATAATAATTTTTTACAGTGTCCTCAAATGTTTTTACCAGTAAGCAGTGCAGTTACTGTTGGTTTATTGTTGTATAGATATGGGTATGAGTGGAAAAGAGAGGAAGCAAACAAAAACTTGCTGCGGACACACACAACTGCTGTATCAACCAGGATGCTTTATGCACTAGGAAAGGTTCGATGGTCCAGAGACTCTTAATGGTTTTTTTTAAATTATATTTAACTGCCGTCAATTAGCATTTTAACCATACTTCTTTACTGCAATCATTCTTCCTGACTGTTACCATGCTGCCATTATAATTACCTGTACCATGCTTTGTTGAATGCATTTATTTATTTATTTTTTGGATTGGAGAAGCGTATTTAACAAACCCCCTCCTCAAAAGAAGTTGTTTCTTACATCATAAGTAACTTTAGGACTATTAAATATATTTTTTCCTCTTTTCTGATTTCGTTTACAGCAACCGTTTGCCCCCAAAAGGTACTTCTCAATTGACCGTGTTTTCAGAAATGAAGCAGTTGACCGAACTCATCTTGCAGAATTCCATCAAATAGAAGGTACTGGATAACTGGGTTGGGGTTTTATTAGGTATTAGCTTTCGGTGTGAACTTTGGTCTGTCTTGAAAAAACTAAATTGAGAACTTACTGACTTAGACCTGCTATATCAAGAACTCAAGTGCTTGTCAATTTTTCATGTTAACAAAATCTTTTTACCAAATCCAAGTTTCAGTTAAATCAGCTAAATGTGTGTTTTTGATTAACTGCACAAGACCATCTGTTAACAAGATTTATACCATATAAGTGTTACTGCTTTGTAGTGCTTGTAGTGACCTACTAGCTTTCTAAATATTCATATGTTTGAATTTAGGTCTAATATGTGATCGAGGGCTCACTCTTGGTGACTTGATTGGTGTTCTGCACGACTTCTTCTCTCGACTAGGTAATGCTCAGTATTATGCTGAATATGGTTTGAACTTGGAAGTTGGAACTGCTCCGGAATAAATTGGTGTGAGGGTTTAATCTTTTTCGTCTGATGAGATGAAGCATGGTAGAGTTGTTCCATATTAAAATTTCGTTTGTTTATGGTCTGTCTTTATAACCTAATATATGCCAGTAGTAAATATGAAATTGATGAGTTGTGATTCATATAGCAATGGTGGAGGAGATGAGGTAGGAGGGACCATGAAGATGTATCTTACATTATTTTATGATTATTTTCAGGCATGTCTAAGCTACGTTTCAAACCTGCTTACAACCCATACACGGAGCCCAGCATGGAAATATTTAGGTAATGAGAAAAATTTCTTGTGCTGTCGTGTCTGCATGTTAGGTGGATAGAAATTTGACAGATTATCTTCTTCTATGTCCAGTTATCATGAAGGACTGGGGAAATGGGTTGAAATTGGGAATTCAGGCATGTTCAGACCTGAAATGTTGCTTCCTATGGGAATCCCAGAGGATGTTAGGGTTATTGCATGGGGGCTTTCTCTTGAAAGGTAAATTTTTATATGCAGAAAAAAATTTGTTTGGATTGAATATTTTCAATAATTTCATCATAGGCAAATGAATGAAGCACTGATGTCTCTCCCCTTCCCCATCCTGCCATCCCCCCCTGGCCCCTTTCTCTTTTGGTTTATGTGGGTGTGAACCAGACCGACCATGATACTGTACGGAATAAGTAACATCAGGGATCTCTTCGGACACAAGGTATACTCTTCTATAGACACTTTTCGCTAGCTATGCAGCCATTTTATCTTCATACAAAATATGACGCGTGTTTGTCGCTGCAGGTTGATCTCAGTCTCATCAAAAGGAATCCGATTTGCCGCATTGGAATCAATTAAATCATGGATGATCTTGTGATTCTTTTTAAATTTCCTTCTGTAACTTGGGCAAACAAATACTGCATCTTCATACATACATGCAACACTTGCAGTTTACGCACAATTCATGCCCTACCTTTACTTCGAGGGCTCATTCATACATGCTTATACGATGAAGATGTCTCTATAAGATTTTGTTACGGTTGGACCCATTTGTTTTGGTTTTGTTCCTTGATGATGCT